GCAGTCAGTGACTTGTGTTTGCTTGCCATTGTGGGCTCCCTGCGTACTTATGACACTTTTATGCGTGGCACATGGCGTTGAAGGTACATTTTTGCCATTTAATCTCACACCAGACCCAGTATGACGGTCACTTTGTGCCTGATGTGCGAGTCTTGACTGTGCTAGCGCACACTGCGCCTTGGAGAGCATTCACCATTGTTTGTCCTTTCTTTGGTTGTTGGTCTTTAGACGCGTGTTCCCATACCAAAATCTTTACATATTTTGGGATTCACCTCATCAGACTGGCACTTCCCTTGGCATGATCTCGAATGAGACGTTTCTCTCTTTTCTCCCATATTCTCCTGTTACTCTTTCGCATTCGTCGCTTGCATTCACTTTTTATATTTGTGACCATGCTCTTCAAAAATAAATGATAAAAATAGGAAGAGTCTGCAGCCAGCGTGAAGGCAGTCGCGGCCGATTGTAGTAGAGTCATGCGAATGTCAACCCCATCATCATCTTCAACAGCAGCAGCACTGGAAACACAGCCTCAATGCTCAGCACTAGTGCCTCGCTGCCGTACGACCACAATTTGTTTGTAAACCTTATTGTGAGGGGAGGAATAAAAGTACATGGGGAGATGACCTTGAGCTAACCTGAACGCATACGTCTACAGGCACTCATTCAGATAGACCAGATAAAAAGTGATAACGCGAAGGAAATTGACATTGATTAGCAGCTATTTATTGCAGCATCTCTGATCTCACATAGGGCGGAACGTCCAGTCCCCATCCTGGAAGGCGAGTAGCACCGACGTTGGCTAGGCTATTGGTAAACTTTCTCACACCCCTCAACCAGGTCAAAGGCTCACCGCGATACGATGAATAATTCTAGCATACTATAAGAACTGCAGCGTTTTGAACCGGGGGTTTGTTTGAGCGCAATGAAGGCAGTTCTCCCATCTGTCACTAAAGGGGCTTTATATTTAGAAGACTCGTTCATACACAGCAGCCGCTTTTACCTCTATACTTCCAGAGTATCTGAACGTTAACTAGCTGAAGACTTGTTTTTTTATTGAGACGTCATCCTGAAAGCGAAGCAACTCTATTCTGGAAAGACTAGAAAAATTGTACAACTGTACATCGTTATTAGGAGACATCAGTGGGACGAAACTCCAAAAGGTCTGGAGCCCTTGACCTCCCGGCTAGTAGTTTGGACACCTAACCGTTCGACCATAAGCGGTTGATAAGCATCAGTACCGGAACAGGATATAGAAACAATCAAGATGAGTGAAACTTCCTTTTTGGAAGTCATCACTCGAGGAGCCATTAAGTACAGGACCACGTGGTGTAGTTTCTGTGATTGAAGTATAAGCCAAAACTCTTTCAGAGAGCAGTCATTGGTACACAAAAATTACGACTACAAAATTTCATGCCAGGTAGGAAGCAAAGACCTCGTCATCGATAAGCTTTCCAAAGCTTTCGAGCTAGAGTTAGGGGTTCAAACCAGTTATTTCTGTTGTTACCAGTTCCATCCAAGGCGAGAATTTGAAAGTCACTAGTGAGGCACCAAAAGTGACCCAGTACTCACGAGACTAAGTGATGTGAGGCTGGCAAGCCAAAAACTGTACTGCTCAGTACAACTTTAACTTTCTTCCATTTGTTTGTGATCGACAGTGGTTGTATATTCAAAGGCGATCAACTGTGTAGTGCCGGGATTTCAGAAAAGAAATGGAGCACAGTATTCACTTTTTGAATAATGAAGTCAACCGTAGCGTCTACTTGTGGCCCGGAATGACGAGCCACAACATGGATCATGTCAAGGCGCACCGCCTGTTAAACCGCCGACATGAGACAAACTGAAAAAAAGAATCTGCCACGAGAACTCCCGAGATGGCCGTGGCAACTAATAGCAGCGGAGCTTTCCAGGGGTTGACCATTATAGCGGTTTTCTGAAGTTGACCATCCTCACCATGACTACATGAGTGGTAAACCTCCCGAAGTATCAGTTTGCATCTTGATTACGGACAATGGGGAGAGCAGTTGGCTGACTGCGTAGGAAATGGAGACGTGTGATCCAGCGGGGTCGGGCGGAAAAGAAGTGGGTAATCTTATCAAGCACGGAAAGGTGCGATATGTTGACCTATTCTCGCAAAATCTGAGGACCAATGCTAACATCCAGTAGCACGCTGACTTCCGACGAAACGATTTTTGGCATCGACCAACTCCTTACTTTCATCACTCTGAATCGACAACGAAAAACAATCTTCGGCTAGGGATGATTCAACATACGCAGAGCATGATCACACCACCTCAGCTTCTGGTTTCGGGCATACACTTCGATTTAAGTCCCTGTTGTGCGGCAAAACACTCGATTGCTAATTGTCTTGTGGCAAATTCGCCGGCAACAGGCTACACAAGCTACAGTTCTGGATCAAAGATTACCGGAGACCTGAAGGTGTCTGAGTTCCGCTGCTCGGCCAGTTCACGCCCGTACTGTAGCTCATGAGGTACAGGGATAAATTGCTTTGCTACCCTAATTGTCTCAAAGTTGCATTCGCGACCCGAGTCTTAGGGATTCATCATCTGGCCTTATCTGTCACAATACAAGCGGGACTTTTTAAGAAGTGGAAAACATACCACAATCTCGAAGGCTTCTCTTTGGATTGTAAGTGGCATGCTTGGTAATTGTATGTCAAGGAGCATAACCTTACAATTTGTGCGTGCAAAGCGCACACCAATGGATGAGGTGAGTTCGTTCAATTCATCAAAAAACACCTGCGGGTTCTTCTCCTCCAACAATCTTAGTAAGAGGTTATCCGGACCAGGAACTTGATGGTAAGTGAGAGAAAGTATGCAGTCATGAACCTCCGAGACTGTAAGAGGTTCCAGGTTCAGTGCACAGTGCCAGAGTTCCAGTGCAGTCCGCGGATCCAAATCAGTAGCATGAAAACTGGTGGTCACGAGAGTAGCTCTTCAGCTTTCTGTCTGCTCTATCTAGCGGTCGAAGCGTCAATCTTTATTGAAGACGGTCCCGCCAGTTTTACCCGTGATTGTTTTGTTCGCAGGCATTTTTAGGAGCCCATTGGCACAGATCAGCCAAAATTATCTTGTCATTCTCAGGATTCTGCACCACTTCCACTTACTCCTGTGTCCATCAGGCTCTTCATTCGGCACACACGGTGAGTTTTTCTTGGCAGTTAATAATCGGTCTGTTTGAATTATATTAGGGACCGGTGGAACATTGCTTTGCAGCGCCTCTATTTTGTCTGACGTCCATTACTTGAATCCAGCTGGAATTGGCTTTCAGATGGAGAAACTCCCAGGCATTTTGTTTAGATATAGCGATGTTGTTTCAGTAGGAACTGATATCCGACGGAGGAGCAGTAAGAAGACAGTGCGGAAGAGGGTTCTGATAATCTCGTTTAGCCTCTGGATCTGAGACACCCTCGGTAGCTTAGCCCCTGGGTCGGCCATGGAAAACGAAGAAGCTACTCCGGAGGAATGACCAATTTTGGTCCGTATCTTGCACAGTGTTGGGGAACATCATGTACCCAGACGATTTCAGCTATTTCGGGAGTTGGTACCACATAAAAACAGCCTATAGTCACACACAGTAGAAGCGGTCTCTCACGATTGTCCGTGAGCACCGAGTCCAACCCGAGTCGACTACCTAACTGAGTTACGATGCACTTAATCTGATCAGTGGTGCGTTCTAATCCCCGGGAATCACAAAGATGTCTGATCCATTAGCCCGGCGCAACAGGGAATTCAAGGCGCCATATAAGTTATCCTTGATGGTGCCAGACCTACAATCGGGTGAGGAATAAGCGGACAAATCAAGTGGGCAGCGATCAACTTCCCGCCATTGAGACTCCTTCGCAGACGTTTCCAGACGAACCTTACGGGTATCCAACGGTGTTATGATTATTCACCTCGGTGGCTTAGGATAATATCTCAAAGAGATCTCTGGCTCACCAGATTTGTGCATCCGGAAGCGGGTGGAGAGTAATGGAGCAGTTACCTCAAACACTACGATTACATCTTGAATTCTTCTTCCTGATACACAACACACATCAATGTTAAACGAACCCAGTATGAGAGCAAGAGCAGCCTGTTGTCCTGTTTGCTTTAGAGTTAAAGACAGCCATATGAACCGGATGCAGAGTTTTGAAGATTGATTTCGAAATGCTCGAAGGCGTCGGCTCCGGCTGACGTTAGGTCGTTGCGGCGAAGACAGATGCGAGACGCACGGGGTCGTCAGCCTTAACGGATGGAACCACAAACAGAGGGCTATTACTGGGGTGAGGGAGGAGAAAAAGTACATGAACTAGAGGAAAGTGTTTTCTCTTGCTCGCCACACTGTACGCAGCAAGCAAGACGACTCGGCAACCAATGTGACAAGACGCTATTGCTCGGATACTGCCAGGGTACACAGGTCTGGACAGGAGGACGATTAGGGTCCCTGGTCAAAGCCTTTGGCTAAAAAACTTGACCGCAAGGCAGTGGCGTTTGGCGGGGAAATGCAAGTGCATTACTACTTTTAGGGAATATGCGCCTTAAATGCTTGACCATCAGCCTGGATGACCAGCAATCTATGTTGGTCAGACTTCTAACCATCGACCAACCTGATAGAAGACTCTGTGAGTGTCACACGGACACCACACAGTAAAGTTCAGTAGGTCACTGTGGCACACATAACTTCACACCACACCAAGGTCCGGTCTCTTCGTGATGGGTATAAAAATATGGCGGACCAATCAGGCTCAATCGTCATCAAAACGGACCTACCATCATGAATAACGAAAATTCCTAATAGTAACGGTAGGCACCAACCCGCGACTACGGAGAATTTTTGAATTCCACACAGTGACATCGTTGAGATTACCCTATGAACCGGTCAAGATGCATTGGACAGGGTCACAAGGCCGGAAAGATCTCCTCAAGGGGGTGGGTATTTCATTACTGCTACATCATGGGTTCGGTCTATATACCATCTATAAACACGCATGTGAGTGATGTGCTGGTAGAAAACTGTAGTTCGTAAAAATATTGCGAGTATGAGGCGTCTAGTAACTGCCAACCACGCTTGTGCACGATCTGCTTTATCTCAGACTGGCTCAATGGGGTAGCTGTAGGTAGCTGCAGGTTTTATAGAATTCACGTTCACACCACTTTCGTGTAAACAGTCCTCGCGCAACTACTGTGGTG